CGGACACACAGGTACACACACACACAAATACAGTGGTGTGAAAAAGTGTTGGCCCCCTTCCTGATTTCTTATTTTTTTGCATGTTTGTCACACTTTAATGTTTCAGATCATCAAACAAATTCACTTGTGTTATCTTTTACTAATATTTAATTTTTTTTGATGATCTGAAACGTTAAAGTGTGACAAACACGCAAAAAAATAAGAAATCAGGTAGGGGGCCAACACTTTTTCACACCATTGTAGATGACTTCATATTATATACACACAGATTCTCGTAAATATGTTCATTCCTAATGTGATTTGTATGTGTCTTCTCTCCTCAGGTCATATCCTGTCTCTGTACACGTGGGGGGGCTGGATGATAGCGTCCGGCTCTCAGGATAAGACGGTGCGCTTCTGGGACCTGCGAGTGCCCAGCTGTGTGAGAGTGGTGGGGACGGCCTTCCAAGGTGCAGGTGGGCTTCTCCTGCTTTATTTTACTCTTTAGCACTTTGTCTGCTAAAAAACACCAGTTTCTGATGTTAGCTGGTTTTACATGGTTTCTAGCTGGTCTACGGCTGGTCATTTATGCTTATTGGTTGGTTCAGACTGGTCTAGACGGTTGACCAAGTGCTGGTAAGGCTGAAATGGTCATGGTAAAGCATTTAGGTCAAGCTGATCAGAAATGGTAACAGCCATCATGTTTCAAAAACCAGCTTGAACACTTTGAGCTGGTATGACCTGGTTTTTCCAGCAAGGAAACTGTATATCTGACCTGATTCACTGGAAACATTACATAGGCGCCATCTTACATACTAATGTGCTTTAATCTGCCATTTTGGTTTTATATTACAAGATTTAAGTCACTTTCAGACCAGTCTTATTTTAGTATCATTGAGAAAATGTAGGTTTTATAAGTATTTTAAATCAGATTTTATTTTTACATGTTGTTTTCATTTTAATTTTAGTTAAAAATTTAATAATGTTCTGTGTTTTTGTCATTTTTTAATAACATTTTATATTTATAAATATTTTATTTTATAATCATTTTTTATTTTATTTTTATTATTTTTAAACTAAATGCAAATGCGAAATGTTGCCCTGACAACTAATTGTTCAATGTTTTTTTTTTAACATTTTATTTTATTTTAAAGTTGTTGTTTTTTCAAGTAATTAAAGTTTGTTGTTGTTGTTGTTGTTGTTTTCCTATAATACATTCTAATTGTTCAGCACACAGTGTATGACACTATCCCCCAGTTTCACAGACAAGGCTTAAGCCTAGTCCTAGACTAAAATGTAAATCTGAGCTGTTTCAACTGAAGGAAACTTGCATTGACTGATCTTAAAACATTACTGATCTTAAAACAGTAATGGTTTTTTATAAGGCATGTTTATAAAAATTACTTAAATGTCCTAATTGAACTATAGCCTAATCCTGGCTTAGGCTAAGCCCTGTCTATGAAACCGGACCTATATTGCGTCTTTACTTCTTTATGCCCCATTCAGAAGTATTGTGAGAAATTTTTGACTAAATAAAATGAATATAAATCTTGTCTCCTGGGTAACCAGATTTGGTCATTAGCAATTGTAATAGTAAGTGTGTGTTTGTTCATGTGGTTTATGTTGTGTGTGTGAATTCACAGGCAGTCCTGTGGCGTCGGTGGCAGTGGACCCGAGTGGGCGTCTGCTGGCATCAGGGCAGGAGGACAGCTCCTGTATGCTGTATGACATCAGAGGCGGGCGCATGGTTCAGACGTACCGGCCGCACTCCAGTGATGTCCGATCGGTGCGTTTCTCCCCCGGCGCTCATTACCTGCTCACGGGATCCTACGACACCAAGGTCATCGTCACTGACCTACAAGGTGAGATCTCAGATGACCCTCAGTTTACCCTGAGTGTTAATGTTAATTTTTCATTGTAGAATTATTGTGTATTTGTCATTTTTATTTGTTTTTAAATGTATTTTAAATATATTCATTTTAAATATAGATTTTTATTTCAGTTTTATTTCTTTCAGTTAAAGTTTATTTTTTCAAGTAACGAATTATTATTTTTTTTTTTTAAGTTTTAGGTAACTGTAATAACCTTGCAACTCAACATCTATTTATTTTACTTTTTTAACTTATTTATTTTACATTTACATTTTATTTTACTACATTTTTACACCTCAGCTGAAACCAGTGTTATTTTAGTATCAAGACACTATTATAATTTTTATTTTGAATCCGTTTTTATTTATTTATTTTTTCATTTTGTAATTTTTTTGTAGTTTTTGTTGTTTTTAAGTTGATATAGCTTTTATTGATTTTTACTTGCATTTAAGTTTATTTTAGTACATCAAGTTACACTAAATGAAAATGATGTTTTTTTATTTGTACTTGTTTAATTTTTTTAAATTGTAATTTATTTTACTAGATTTTTACACCTCCATAATAATGCAGCCCCCCCC